TCTTTATTCATCATTTGTAATTTGAAATGCCTGTTCAAAATTGATATGAAACATTTTGTTAATGTCTTTTGAATTCATATTCACGTAGAAAAAGGAATATGGAGCAAAATTAACGGCTTGACGATACATATCTAATAATTGCTGTTTGTCAACAATGGCGCTATTTTCTTCAATAAAACTCATTAACTCACTGGCATTTTTCAACCTAAAAATATATAATGAACTCGCATTCAAACGAATGATAGGCGCTAAAACAGAAGAAATCACACTTACTGCATCGTGCCTGCCTCTTGTAAATAATCCATGTAATAATTTACTATATCTAACAAATTTAGGGTCGTCTGCGTGGTCATCTATCACAATTAATATTGAATGCAGTTTCTTTATCTTTTTGGATTTCATATAATTAATTATTTTCTTCTGTCTTTCAATTACATTTTCTAAATCACTTGGATTATAATTATCAAAATAAATTTGTTCTTTTTCATCATCTACGTGCAATTCGTCCCTGATATATTTTTTAACTTCTGTAAATGTAGGGTCGTTATGGACGCTGGGTGAAAATATAAATATTCTTGCGAATGAATTTCTATAAACATTCAATATTAAATTTTGAATAAGGACAGTCTTACCGCCTGTCGAAGAAGCAACTATAATACTTCTAAATGGTAATTTTGGCACGTGCTCATATTTAGATTGTTTGAATTCATATTCAGTTATGTTTATTGGTTTTATTATTGGAACATCTGTCATAATTGATATTAAAGATATATAGAAAATAATTTAATATTATTTATTGTATGAAAGCATTGCTATGATATGAATGGTGTCTTTCGTAGTAGAACAGGCTCTTTCATCAACTTCAATCAATAAGCATTGAAGCTAATTAGTTTGATGCGTTGTAAAGAAAACCCCAAGTGCTGTGCCCTCCTAATATTCTAAAATGCATGAAATAATAAGATGAATTGTAAATAATTTATCTTATTATTTATATGAATAGGAGTTATTCAAAATTATATTAATATAATAGATGAAGTAGAAAATATAGAACAAGTAATAATTACTCATAATAAAACTAAAAAATGCTGTTATTATTCATTAGAATTAATTAAGTTTGTGATACAGTATATCAAAAATAAAAATGTAAATATTAATATAAATGGTGAAAAAGAAAAAGAAAAACAAAAATAAGACAGGTTTAAGTGTTTCTTCAACTGATGAAGATAGCGGAGAAATTGTTAAAGAAACAGCAGTAATTGAGGTTGCTTGTCCTATGTGCAAAAAGATGTTAGAACTTAAAAATGAGTTAGAAATAAAAAAAATAATAAAAATTGTAAATGTTCATGTATTCCAACAAGTTTCAAAATAAGTAAAAATGATAAGAAAATGAATATTGATAAAACTAAAGACAGTATAAATCTGGAAACGGATGTTCATAATATAACTTTTAAATTTGGTAGGCAAGCAACACCATCCGATAATAATGAAAACGAAACACAGGAAACTGTTAAACAAATGATGAAAAATATATAATTAAATAAATAAATATCTAAATAAATATATAGTAATGTCTGAAAATGAAAATTATACTATTAATGATTTAATGAAGAAGATAACATTAATTGGTAAAAATATCAAAAACTTAAATGATATGATTAAATCCATTGATGACAAAATGAAACCAGTTGAACGCGAACAACAAAGCAACGAAGAGAAGGAGAAAATCGATAAGATATTTCAAGCAAAATCTATAGGTAGACCCAGTGGCGATTACCCTACAAAGCAAAAGAAATACTGTGATATGTTGAATACAGGAAAAATCAAACAACCAAAGCAACAAACATTAGAGTTTTATAAAATTACAAAACATGATGATGGAGTATATGTATTATTTGAATAATTAATATCTAAATAATTCTAATAAATGAATTTATTAGAACTATTTAGCAAGAAGACCTATATAAAATACCTAGTGAATTAATTTGTGAAATCTTAGTGAGTTTTGACGGATTAAGGATTTTGAGTTTGGGGTTGGGCTTGAAACTTGAAATTTCTAGGTTCATCCAACGACAACACAGTAAAAAATTGAATTTTAAAAAAAATGAAAATATTAATTTTTAAGGGGATAATCCATAGTTTATCAAATTTAGAAAACGCCAATATTCATATAGATATATCAGGAAACTCCCACCAATTGCCAAACAGGGCACAAAAAAAATTGGCGAGAGTTTCCCCTTATATATTATATATATATACCCCGCCCAGAAAAAAAAAACCTCCCGGCCAAGTCCTTACCTAGTAGGGCACGGTCTGGAAGTCAAAGGCGGTGATGAAGATACCTGCGCAGGAAAAAAGAAACAAACACATAAAAGGCAGGAGAGGGGGGAGAGGGACCCACCAGCAAACCCAAAAACCCAAGCCAGCCCACAGCAAAGTTAAAGCACATGCCCTATTTTCTCAGACCACATCGGATGGTAGCAAAGTTTCAACTGCCTACTCCAAACCACTGCTCTGACTGGCAGTGTCAATGAAGTCAGGCACGATGGCATAGAATGGTCGCCCTCAATGCTGTTTTAGTCTTTGGTAAAAGGGATTTACCTGTGAGGTAAAAGGGATTTACCTGTGAGGTAAAAGGGATTTACCTGTGAGGTAAAAGGGATTTACCTGTGAGGTAAAAGGGATTTACCTGTGAGGTAAAAGGGATTTACCTGTGAGGTAAAAGGGATTTACCTGTGAGGGCGACACTCAAAATGCCTGCCAAATGAGAGGCAAAGCTCAATCAATCAGTCATTGCTGATTGACTGCTAAGGACATATTTTGCCCGTGTCTCTTGCTCTCTCTACTCTCTCCGCAAGCAAATGGGCGCACTAAGCATCGATGAGGACGATGAAGTCCAAGCACGGGCGGAGCCAACGGTTGCCCCCAAAACCCCTGAAAAACCCCTAAAATCCTACAAGGGACACCACGCCCAAACAAATATATGATGAAACTGATGAAACGAAGGAGGGAGTGATGTTGTTGCTGTTCTATTTTTTGTCCGGGAAATGGACAAATCGTTTTTAGACAGTTCGAATATTTTTTTGATGACAAATATTTTTTGCAATATATTTTGCAAAATTTATTTTTTTGAAATGGATGAGGTGAGGAGATTGAGGAAATGACATTTTGGAGGGTAGTTGGTGAAATGAATGAGGCGAGGAGAAAGGAGAAAAGGATGGCGAAAATTTTGGAAAAATGATGATAAAAAAACGGATGAGATGGACAGAAAGGAATGTAGAAAAATGATGAAAACAAATAAGGGTAGAAGATGGAAGATGAAAAAAAATGTAGGGTGGGGGGTATGTATGAAGCAATTTATTTGCGGGGCGTGGCCCTCCACTACTGATGGCCGGAGGCTGGCGGGTAGCCGCAACCCGCATGGGCTTTCCGGCGTGCACTTGAGTGGGTGTGCTTATCAAGTGAAAGGCATGTGTGCAGCGCTGTGCAGGTGCACTTGAGTGGGTGCGCTAATCGATTGCCAGGCCTGTGCGCCGTGCTGCGTGCACTTGAGCGGGCGTGCTTATCACTTGGCCGGTCTTGGCAGGAACGTTTGCAGTGCTGCGAGGGCGCACTTGAGCAAGTGCGCTCATTACTTGGCAAGTCTTGGCAGGCACGTTTGCAATCCTGCGCAGGGGCACTTGAGCAAGTGCGCTCATTACTTGGCAGATCTTGGCAGGCACGTTTGCAATCCTGCGCACTTGAGCAAGTGCGCTCATTACTTGGCAGATCTTGGCAGGCACGTTTGCAATTCTGCGCGGGAGCACTTGAGCAAGTGCGCTCATTACTTGACAGATCTTGGCAGACACGTTTGCAATCCTGCGCGCGCGCACTTGAGCAGGTGCGCAGATTACTTGGCAGATCCTGGCAGGCATGTTTCCAGTGCTGCGCGGGCGCACTTGAGCAAGTGTGCTGATTACTTGGCAGATCTTGGCGCACACGGTTCCAGTGCTACGCGGGCGCCCTTGAGAAGTGTCCTGAGTAATTACTTGGCAGATCTTGGCAGGCACGTCTGCAATTCTGCGCGGGGGCACTTGAGCAAGCGCGCAACTGGGCAGATCTTGGCAGGCATGTTTGAAGTGCTGCGCGGGCGCACTTGAGCAAGTGCGCTGATTGCTTGGCAGATCTTGGCAGGCATGTTTGCAGTGCTGCGCGGGCGCCTTTGAGCAAGTGCGCAAATTACTTGGCAGATCTTGGCAGGCATGTTTGCAGTGCTGCGCGGGCGCGCTTGAGCAAGTGCGCTGATTACTTGGCAGATCTTGGCAGGCATGTTTGCAGTGCTGCGCGGGCGCGCTTGAGCAAGTGCGCAGATTACGACCGGATGTTGCTCTTCGAATCTGCAATTGTTGCGGCCGCGTCCAGCGTGACGAGGGGCTGAACAGCTCCAATCTGAGAGCCCTAACAAAGCAACACTACAATGTACTAGTAAAAACCTGTAATGCTACAGGATGCGCGACGCCCGCTACAGCAGGCTAGGGTTATGGGGAGTGGGCTCGAGTCCTTGCCATGTTGTGAAAAGGCTTCCAGTACGTGCTTGCCAGCACGCAAAGCACTGGTAGAACATGCAAGCAAAGGAAATGAGTGTAAGACGACTCAAGGGCTCGGCCGGCGTGTCTTGTGGATGTTCTTGTACGTAGTCTTCTTTCGGGTTATTGCCTTGTGTTGTAGAATTGTTTCTTGGCGCGGATGTCTTGTCTAAACAAAGAACAACTACACAAGAAACGCGTGCGATTGCTTTCTGTTACCAATGTCTGTGCACGAGTAAGCGCCTACGAAGGGGGCAGGCAGTTGGGCCTGGTGAGCAAGCTAGAAGCCCCCGAAACACGCCAACGAAACACGCCAACGGCGGTTTAATAAGGACACGACTGCCTGCTGGTCAAAACGGCTTGTTCACCATCCCATGGGGATGGCCGCTGCACGCCAACAATTGTTCGTTCTGCAAAAATTGACTTCGCATTGCTCTCCTTGAGCTCGCTGTTCAAGAAGCTGCCATAGGTCTTCTGAAACTCTTCCAACCTCATGGCGGAACGGCAATGTCTCACTTCAGTTTATTGCTGCCATAAAACAAGCAATCTCGAATAGTGCTTGGTCAGCAGTTGTATTCACTTGGTTTGCCTCTTTGCGCTTGAAAGTCACTTGGCAAGTAACCAGTGGCGAGAACTGTCCGTGGACACTCATGCAAGATCATGGAAGTCTTAGCTGTGCTAGCACCTTCACGAGACCTCAACTGTTCACAGAAGATTCTCCAAATGTCCAACACCAACAGGGAAATGCCACTGACATGTCTCCAAATGACTCCAGCATCGTTGTCCAGCACGTTGCAGTGGGAACGCAATCAGATGTCTCTATCATGGTAGTGTTGTGGCTAACAATCAACATCTCCCTCGGGACCTCACACTTGAAAAGTGGTGACTGTATTCTCGTGCTGACACAACATTCAAGGAATGGGTAATTGCCACAGGATAGCCCACTGCCAACTGTACAAGCGATGACAACGAGCATAACACATACGACAAGCGTCCCCACCGTGCGTGCTGGTGTGCCCGTACTTCGACATGTACGCGTGCATCCCGAGGCTCCAGCGCTGCTTCTGCGTCGCGGGCTGCAGCCAACAAAGACTCTTTTGCCTCATTGAACTTCACTTCCAACGTCAACCGATGCTGATACAATTCGATAATCCGCCGACCCCTTTGCAAAAGCAAAGTTAGTCTCTGCAAAGGGGCGAGGCGTGTTCTAAGTGGTGGTTAGGGGGAGTCTGAGGGGGGGAGGGGGGGTCCCGCAGCGGATTTTTGACACGCCTAACCTCTAACCCTAACCTCCAACCCTAACCTCTAACCCTAACCTCTAACCCTAACCTCTAACCCTAACCTCTAACCCTAACCTCTAACCCTAACCTCTAAACCTAACCTCTAACTCTAACCTCTAACCCTAACCTAACTTCTAACCCTAACCTCCAACCCTAACCTCTAACCCCAACCTCTAACCCTAACCTCTAACCCTAACCTCTAACCCTAACCTTGAACCCTAACCTCTAACCCTAACCTCTAACCCTAACCTCTAACCCTAACCTCTAACCCTAACCTCTAACTTTAACCTTTAACCGTGAGGATGGATGATGATGATGAAAGACTAGGAAGATGACGGAAGACTACGGGAAGATGACGGGAAGCTGACAGAAGACTACGGGAAGATGACGGAAGACTGCGGGAGACGACGGAAGACAAGGAGAAGATAACGGAAGACTAGAAGAGTGCGGGACTGCACGAAGATGACGGAAGACTACGGGAAGACGACGGAAGCTGACGGAAGACTACGGGAAGATGACGGAAGACTACGGGAAGATGACGGAAGACTACGGGAAGATGACGGGAAGATGACGGAAGACTACGGGAAGATGACCCTACTCTAACCCTAACCTCTAACCCTAACCTCTAACCCTAGCCTCTAACCCTAACCTCTAACCCTAACCTCTAACCCTAACCTTTAACCCTAACCTCTAACCTTAACCTCTAACCCTAACCTCTGACCTTAACCTCTAACCCTAACCTCTAACCCTAACCTCTAACTTTTCACCTCTAAGCGTGAGGATGGATGATGATGATGAAAGACTAGGAAGATGACGGAAGACTACGAAAAAGATGACGGGAAGTTGACAGAAGACTACTGGAAGATGACGGAAGAGTACGGGAAGCGGGTGATGCTTTGCTTGCTGGGGATGCGGGAACTGCCTTTTTGGTCTTCGAATGTCGGGAAAAATAGCAGCTTTTGCATCCCCCGCTTCACCGGCATCATCCTGCAGGTGTCTGGGGCGATGCCTGGCATGCTGGGGATGCGGAAGCTGCTTTTTGGTCTGGGACGGAGAAGAGCCGGGCTTTCTCTCAGCGATAGCAAGGGCCGGATTTTTCTCCAACGTCTGGCTTCATGCGGGGATGATGAGGCTGATGATGATGCTGGATGACGAGGCCGATGATGGCGCCGCTGATGATAATGATGATGAGGAGGATGACGATGATGCTGCTCAACCTGATGAATGAGGACGATGCATCATCATCATCGTCATCATCCACCATGTCGTCATCATCATCCATCATCATCCTCAGCCTCAGTAGCATCATCATCCTCAGCCTCATCATCCAGCATCAGCACCATCGTCAGATCATCATCCTCATCATCCTCCTGATCATCATCATCATCCTCGTCACCATCATCATCATCGTCATCATCATCAGCGGCGTCATCATCATCATCGGCATCACCATCATCATCATCAGCATCATCATCAAAATCATCAGCATCATCATCATCATCGTCATCTTCCCGTCATCTTCGTGTATTCTTCCGTCATCTCCTGACGGGAAGATGACGGAAGACTGCGGGAAGATGCCGGAAGACTACGGGAAGATGACGGAAGAGTACGGGAAGATGACGGGAAGCTGACGGAAGACTGCGGGAAGATGACGGAGGACTACGGGAAGATGACGGAAGACTACCGGAAGATGACGGAAGACTACGTGAAGATGACGGGAAGCTGACAGAAGACTGCGGGAAGATGACGGAAGACTACGGGACTGCGGGAAGATGACGGAAGACTGCGGGAAGATGACGGAAGACTACGGGAGATGATGGGAAGATGACGGAAGACTACGGGAAGATGACGGAAGACTGCGGGAAGACTACGGGAAGAGGACGGAAGACTATGGGAAGCTGACGGAAGACTACGGGAAGCTGATGGGAAGATGACGGAAGACTGCGGGAAGACTACGGCGGGCACCTGCAGGATGATGCTGGTGAAGCGGGGGATGCAAAAGCTGCCTTTTTTCCCAACATTCGAAGACCAAAAAGGCAGCTCCTGCATCCCCAGCATGCAAAGCATCACCCCGGGCACGTGCAGATGATGCTGGTGAAGCTGGGGATGCAAAAGCTGCCTTTTTCTACAACGATGGAAGACCACAAAGGCAGCCCCCGCATCCCCAGCATGCGAGACCTTGGCGCCAATCCTGCTGAGAGACGGAGAAGGGCCAGAGTTTCTCCAACGTGTGTGATGCTGTTACGGGGGTCGGCGGCATCAGGCGTCAGCCTGCTAAATATGATACATCTACCATGAAAGGCATGGTGGGTGCAAGATGAAGCTCTAGCAACAACGCCTGGCCTCTGGTGCTGCAGCTTCCGCCTGCGCCTGCAACTTGTTTGCTTTGGCCTCCGTGCAGGGCGAAAAGTCAGTGGCAGAATGCCGCTGCAAACGCTAAAGAGTAGTGAACGCACGCGTCAACACGTCATTCACGTCATTCATATACACACATGTCATCGAAAAGCAAGCAGCTGGCACTCAATTCATTTCCCAGGACGAACGGAGTGTCCTGGTTCTTCGTCAATCTCAGCGCCACTGCCAACTTTAAGAACACCAAAGTCACGTAGAAATAGCCCAATGCGGGCAGCTTCCTTGACACTTACAACAATTGAGACGGCCCATTTAGAGTGTACTTGTGGTAGGTTCGTGTCGAGCACTTCAACACATTCTTATCCTCACTATTCATAAGATATTCAAGAACACGTATTTTAATGGGGAACCCTGGTGGACATCATTTAGGTTGGGACTCATGTTCAGAAGTCACTTTGAGGTGGTTCCCTGTTTAAGTTTGATAGGGGGTTGTTCTGTTCATTCTTCGCGAAAATAAAAATACTTTCGCGAAGCTTTCGCGGCTTCATCGCCGTGCACTTTTCACTGCTAAACCCAGACAGTCGCAGCTTTTAAGTACCAGTGTACTACGCGAAATGCGCTTCCACAACTCCAGTTGCAAAGTCGCAACTTTTGAGCACAGGGGTAGTAAATGAAACGCACGTCCGCAGCTCCTGACGGAAAATCATAACTTTGCAGTACCAGTACCCAAGATACACTTAGCTGGTAAGCTGCAACTAATCTGTTTAGGGCCGAGTCAATGCGTGAAATGCATTCCGCAGCCTCAGCTGGAAGTCGCAACTTTTCAGTACCAAGCAAGCACACAGACTAATGCGGCGCTCAGAAAGTACCTTCCCTTGCAATCGCAGTGGGGCTTTCGCGGATCTTTCGCGAAACATCACCCACGTTTCAGAGCGCACAGCCACCGACTAACACCCACAAACACACACTTGGAATACTAACCAGCAGACAATCAATAAGGGATGTATGTATCTTTGTTCCTTGTTTTTTTCGTATTTTACAGCATTTTGTCGCGAATTGACGTATTTTTACACTCGCCCGTCAACATCCCTAGCATTGTTTTCAACATCCCGCATGTCCAACCAACATCCCCAACATCACCAACAAATCGTGGGTAAAAGAATCAATCAAGCAGTTGGCGTGTTGACGGGGTCGAAAAAATTAATGATAAATTGGAAGGCATTTCAATCCCTGTTAAAAAGAAGTACCGGGGGCGTTGGGCGTGTAATTAAATCTCTGCAGAAAGTCTAAAAAGTAGCGGGGGGGTTTGGGGGGGGGGCGGCAGAGTTCGACAGAGCCTTTCCCGTCCGCATTTTGCCATCCAGTCATAGGGTCCCCCCCTACCCTTTTGGGCACAATTCAAATACACCCACTAAAACAACCCATTTTCAACATTCAAATCCAATCACCCAACCAATCCAACATCAAAAAACACATATTCACATACCCATCTTCATTTCTTACCCCATCTCAACATCACCCCTATGCTCATTCAATAACAACAATCATAACTACATACCACCTCAACAAATCCCACCAAAACAATCCAAGCTAGATACCAACATTTTTTCATTCCCAAGATCGCAACCCCAAGATCTCAATAATTTCTCCCTTGATCCAACTTGACACCCTTCCCCATTTCCAACAAATACGAACAGTCTAAAAAAGAACCCTATGTTCGCCCCAAAAAGTGGTTAACCAATGGAAAAAGGAATATTCTAAGGGCTAACTCAAATCATGTCAACAATCCCAGTAAAATATCCTAGAAACATTGGATGGCAAAATCTGGAGCAATGACAAGCCAAGCGATGCTGAGATATGACCGAGATATTTCATAGGGGTGCTGAAACTTTTCAATGGGGGTGTTGAAACTTTTCAATGGGGGTGTTGAAACTTTTCAATGGGGGTGTTGAAACTTTTCAATGGGGGTGTTGGCACTTTTCAATGGGGGTGTTGAAACTTTTCAATGGGTCCCCCCGTAAAAACACCAAAAATATAACTAATCAAGTTTTGGGGGATGAAACTGTTTGTAATCCCAATGTAAAACACCCTTCAAATCCAGTGAAATGACATTGAACCCCAGATCACGGGCGACGCGACCGACCGACCCTGTCCCACTGAACAGTTCTATCCCACTGAACAGTTCTAATAGATTCATCAGCTATTAGAACCGTCTAGATATTATTTTTTCAACAAATCAATGTGTTGTGCCATCAAGTCATTGTGTTTCTGTTTCCTTTTGTGAGCAGACAAATTTCGCAAAGAGATATAACAACCACATTCACATAGTTTCTTCTCCTTTAATTTGGATACTATTGTTTCCTTGTTAGTGTCTCGGTATTTTTTGTCCATGTCCCGTTTGTATTGCTGGTGTTGTTCCCTCCATGTCCTGCTTCGTTGTAGACATGCTTCATGGTTTTCGTAGTAGTATTCCTTTTTAGTTCTCCCGAGGTGGATTCTGTTAATACATGCTTCGTTCCTTTGATGGTACCCTTCTCTTGCAGAGAGTTCCTCTCTACTGTTACAGGGAAAGTTTTCCAACAGTTCAATCTTACAGTTTTCAAACCCGAAATCGTCAAACAAAGCAAACGAAGTCGTAAATGGGTATTTTGGTCTCAAATAGGCGTTGTATTTTTCTCGGTGCTTTGTCATTCTTTTGCTCAACGGTTCAACCGTGCTACCAATGTAGCATTTCGTGAAGGCATTGTCCCAGATGCGGTAAATTTTCCCTTTTTGATAGTCTGGCATTACAGTAAAAGGACACATTCCTTTATATACCTTTTCCTTCAGACCTTCAGAATTTCCGATCTCAAATAAGCACGAGTCACACCTTGGACATAATAATAGTCTTGTCCAAGTTTTCGCTCAATCCTTTCAATTGTGAACTTGTTTGCTGACCATGAGCTCGTTCTTTCTTTCTCGGAGATCCCTTTTTTGCGGTATATTTTGACCTCATCGCCAACCCTAACAGGGGGATATTTACGGGTTTTGATTCTGTTCATCTCAAGCTTCATCTTGACCTCAAGATGGTTTCCCTTTTTGTGGGCATCGTTTGGAGTCATATCGTGGGCAGAATGAACCATTTTACTGTTATATGTCAGCATGATCTCGGGGATGTAATCAACCCATTGTATGTTAGCCTTTCCCTTTTTCTCGTCTGCATCAACCCTTTTAAACATCATGTCCTTGAACGTGCGAATGAAACGCTCGGCGAAATGGGGGTGTCTGCGAGTTTTATAGTTTTGGATCCCTTCGTCCTTGCAAAAATCAACAAGATCTTGGGTATTGAGACTCCCCTCGTCATCCGAATAAATCAATTTGGGCTTCCCTCCCATTTTGTTTAATGCCTCCATGATCCCAGCCGTGATGTCGGCAGGTTGCTTGGATGCAATAGGCACCACCGTGGCCTTGCGAGAGAATACATCAATAAGCAATAAGCCTATCCTATGTTTTTGATCATCTAAATCATTTTTTGATATAAAAAATAAATCCAATTGATATTCAAAGTTGATATCAGGGGCAATAAACGAATTGTATCCAGACAGTTGTTTTTTCCGTCCCACGTTCTCTTGAAACAACTCCTTGACATCTTGCATTGTTATGGATGCATCTTTCTTTTTTGCATCTTTGTAAGTGGTGGCAATGCTGCCAAACCCAGCCTGATCGTAGTAGATCTCACTGACTATCTTGTCTTTATCACTCATATAAGCAATGCTATAAAATAAATTTCAATATGTTATTTTATCACTGAAGCATCTATTACAAGAAGCACAAAAAGCCATCAGATTATCTTTTGTGTGGGGTAGATCATTACACAACCTTTGACAAGTCAGATTAGAACTTATATTGCCAGAATCCATGGACAACACGAAACCACAGCCACAGTTGGCGCACTTGCCATTGACATTGTCCTTCAACCATTCAGCATCTACATAATTTTCTTTTGGGGTCTCAAATTTGTTCTTACGATCCTGTTCCTTGTATGCTAACACCTTTCTATCAAAATAATTCATAATGCATTTTGCGGTAAACTCTTCATTTAAACCACTACTGTATTTGTACAATTTTACTCTGTCTAAATCCCTTGCCCGAGTGATTCCCGTCCAAAGCCACTCGCGAGTTATCAGATGATGGTTCCAATCAAAAATGGTGACATCATCATCAATGGAACACCCCTGAACAGAATGACAAGTATAACAGAAGGCAAAAATAAAATGACTTCTCAAGATACCAATATTTAGCGCGATCTCTTCTCGTGTCTTGATATTAGCAATGGTAATCCAAGGATTGGACATAATAATTACCTCATACCTAAAATTCACATTTAACTTATAGGTTTTTGTCTTCCTATACTCTCTGCATATCATGATCTCGCCGACTTCAAACTCATTTTGTTTGCCCTGTCGTTTCCTGATCTGCCTTGAAACCTCTCTACAAGTGTTATCTAAATATGCGATGTTACTCTCTGTCCCTGTTATGTCATCAGTATAATTAAAATACTTATTGATGATCTCATGTAGAGACAACCCATGCTCAAAGATGTCAGCATAAATACTTTTAAGTTTATCCTTGTCCTTCTGAGTCTTCAACCGCTTACATTCTTCCAAAAACAAATGATGGGGAAAAATGCTGTCAATACATGCATTCATATAAATCTCGTGTTTCTTAGTGTTAGTCAGTGCTTTTATGGGGCTCAATTGCTTGGCATCACCAGTAGCTAATATGATTTTGTTAGCCCTATGTTGCTCTACAAAGCCCTTGATTTTTGCCAATACAAAGGTAGTATTAACACAAATCTCATCAAACACAATGACATCAAACATCGAATGATCGTATTTATCTAGCTTCTCGTCATTGACTGCTATACTGAAGAATTTATTTACAGTGACGCTTTCCACTTCGCACTCCAAACCCAGATTGTTGGTAGGAGCCACGAACAACACTTTATAACCCTTGAGTCTCTCCATGTTCTTGCAGATGGTGGACTTCCCCGCTCCTGC